GACGGGCACTCCGTGGAGTCGGATGATCCCACGGGTATATATCTCAGCCAGTTTATACATAGACATCCTCATCGAAACGGGTAAGAAATGCACAACCTTAGTCAATCTGTAGACCACGACCCAGATAGCGTCGTGATGTTCAGACGACCTCGGCAATCCCGTAACGAAATCCATCGTGACTTCCTGCCACTTCCACTTCGGAATCGGCAGTGGTTGTAGGAGGCCAATCGGACTCTGATGCTCGGCTTTAACTTGCTGAAAGGTTAAACATCTCTTGACAAACTCGGCGACGTCCTTCTTCATGCCTCGCCACCAGAACGACCACTTCAGGTCGTGATACATCTTCGTGCTCCCGGGATGAGCTAGATAGGGTGCGGTATGGGCCTCTGATAAAATCTCCTTCCGCAACGCCTCAACTTTCGGGACCACGATCCTGCCCCTGAACTCTAGGGCACCATCGGCACCTAGCTGGAAACCCTCGACGCCTCCGGCACGAACCTTGGCCTCCATGACACGAACGAACTCGTCAGAAGCCTGTTCTCGCCGGATTCTCTCTCTCAGCGTCGGCTGAAGCTGCATAGCACTAACACTGGCGCTGGTACTCCCTGAAACTGCTATGGGAAGTGCATCAATCGCCTGAAGCTGCATCCGGGCAAACTCCTGAATCAATGGACTCTGCTGGGTAATGACGTACGTCAAGTCACCCCTCACTTGTCGGCTTAGGGCATCTGCAACGACGTTCGCCTTTCCCGGATGGTACTGAATAGAGCAGTCGTAATCCTTGACGAGCTCTAGCCAACGGCACTGTCTCATGTTGAGCTCCTTCTGAGTAAAGATATACTGTAAGCTCTTATTATCTGTGAAAATCTCACAGTGACCGCCGTAAAGATAGTGTCGCCAAATCTTGAGAGCATGAACGACTGCTGCTAACTCCAAGTCGTGCGTTGGATAATTCTGCTCATGCGGCTTAAGCTGACAGGAAGCATACGCAACGACCTGGCCGTCCTGCATAAGGACACATCCCAAGCCCTGTCTCGAACCATCGCTGAAGATAGTGAAACTCCGAGAAGGATCGGGAATAGTCAACACCGGTGCTGAAGTTAATCTCCTCTTGAGCTCCTAAAAGCTCGACTCACATCTGTCAGTCCACTCGAACTTCACAGACTTCCTCGTCAGCTGGGATAGAGGGAGGGCAATCTTGGAAAAGCCCTCGATGAACCTGCGATAGTATCCAGCTAGACCGAGAAAACTGTGAACCTCGAACGGACTCCTCGGTGCTGACCAATTCTGAACAGCTGAAACCTTGGAAGGATCCACCTCGATACCTGCCTGAGTAATCACATAACCCAGAAAGGATACTCGCTAGAGCCAGAACTCGCATTTGGAGAATTTCGCAAACAACTTTTCTCGTCTGAGGGTTTCAAGAACCACCCTCAGATGCTCCTCGTGTTCCTTCTGGCTCTTCGAGTAGACAAGAATATCGTTAATAAAGACAATAACAAACTGATCGAGGTAGGAATGGAAGATACGGTTCATGAGGTCAATAAAAATTGCTGGCGCATTGCTGAGACCGAATGGCATAACGACGAACTCGTAATGGCCGTAACGAGTCCTGAAAGCGGTCTTAGCGATATCTGATTCCTTAATCTTCAGCTGGTGGTAGCCTGATCGCAAATCAATCTTTGAGAACACACAGGCTCCCCTCAGCTGATCAAATAAGTCGTCGATCCTGGGAAGCGGGTACTTATTCTTGATCGTTAACCGGTTAAGATCCCGGTAGTCGATACACATGCGCATGGATCCGTCCTTCTTCTATACAAAGAGAACGGGTGCTCCCCAAGGTGACACGCTCGGTCGGATGAAACCGAGCCGTAATAGCTCCTGAATCTGCGCCTTAAGCTCTTGCAACTCCTTAGGCGCCATACGGTACGGGGCTTTGGATACTGGACTGGCCCCTGGAATAAGGTCTATAGAGAACTCCACCTGCCGATTAGGCGGTCCTCCTGGAAGCTCGTCTGGGAATACGTCCACAAACTCTCGAACGACTGGAACATCGTGAGGTGAACGCGCTTTCTGAGAATCATCAACAAGGCTCACCAGATAACCCTGGTAGTTGCCTCGTCGCAGCAACTTAGTGGCCTTTGCCATTGAAACAACATGAGGCAAAGAACAGTTTCTGGAGCTGAAGAAAGTAATCGGCTCGTCTTTCGGAAGATAGAGAGTAATCTCCCGGTCATGACATTTGATATCCGCGTGATAAAAGGATAACCAATCCATTCCGAGAATAAGGTCGAAGTCCTTCATCTCGAGAACAAATGCCTCGGTAGACAAAACTCGGCCACCGATGGAAAGGCTAAGATCTGAGGCTTTAGCTGAAGTCACTATCTTTCTTCCCGAGGCCAAACTCACCTCGAGAGGATCGATAGCAGTAGTAGCGCGAACTCCGATGGCATCAAGACATCGTCGTGAAATGAAGGTATGTGTCGCTCCGGTATCAAACAAAGCAAACACAGGAACATTATTAAGAATAACCATTCCGGACATGGTACCTGGCTGCTGCTCGGCCTCTGCCTGATCGATGGCGTAAACTCTGGCCTGCTGTCTACCTCTCTGCTGCTGGTGCTGAGGCTGCCTCTGTGCCTGCTGACGGGGCTGCGGCTGCTGCGGTGGCTGCTGAGGCTGCTGAGCCTGCTGAGCCTTCTTCGGACAACGGTTCGCGAAGTGTCCGGCCTCGTGACAGTAGTAGCACACATCCTGACCAAAGCGACACTAGCCTCGGTGATGCCGTCCACATGTCGGGCACTGTGGAACCTGCTGTAGCCTCCGTCGAGCCCTCTTATCTGTCTGGGCACCCTTATCCTTCCTCTTGTTGTTCTTGGGCGGCTGGGTAGATGGTAAAGCTGGCACCGGTGGAACTGAAGACGACTGACCACGAACGGCCTCCCTCCTAAGGCTAGCATCTACCTCCTGAGCAATGGAGACTGCACGTGCATACGTCTGAGTCCCGTGGCCTACGATGTTATGACGGACTGCTGGGTAAAGCCCGTCAATGAAACGCTGCGCTCGCTGGGCCTCCGTGTGGACCAAATCCGGAACAAAAGCTGCAAGTCTCGTGAACTATCTCTCGTACTCGTCAACAGTACGAGTAC